GAGGCAAGCATTACAACAACTTTTCAATCTGTCAAGCCTTCTGGGAAACCTAGCAGATGTAGCATTCACATTTAAAGGTTATGGTGTCTAAAAGTCCATTCCTCAGGGGCCAGTATAAGGCAGAAAAGTAATTATTTCTAGTTGGAGCTAGAGAAAACCATCTGTGGAAATATATACTTTTAAGTATTTCCATATAATGCCTCTTTGTTGTATGTATTTAGTTTAAATTCAAACGTACATATCTATGTTTTTTTTTTAAATGCTGGTTCCAGATCTACAATTTGGAGGATTTTACTTACATTTTCTATGTATTGTTCGATTTTTCAGTTGGCTGGACAAAGACAATACAATTTGAAGATGTCTCTGGGATTTGGTTATGCATTATTGTACTTTTGATAGCTGGAATGGAGTGAGAAAAGCACGCAGAGACTGTACAAAAGTTAGATGGAGATGGAACAGTGACAAAACATACATTCTTCTTTTAATCTCCCCTGTGTTAAATTAGACAATCCATGAACATTTTTTATTTAATATAAAACAAATCCACATTGTTACACTATGAGCAGCAAGTGCACTGATAACATTATATAACCTCAAGGAGATTTACTTTATAAATATACAGACGACTCAACAGAGCACTTATTACCATGGGTCTCAGTCATCACATGCAATGGCTTCTAGACTGATGCAGTAATAATAGCCACACTGAGACCTTCTCTACACACATGGGCTTATTTGTGCAAGACTTTGAGGGATAGAGCAGCGCTACATCAGATAAACAATAAGACGCAGGGCTTGTTTTAACAATGGGAAAGTGATTTGACCTCAGGGCTCAAAATGAACAGAGGGACTGTCTGTAAACATGGATGAATGGTTCATTGAATTAGTAATAATGGATGAAACTAGTATCCATGTCCTTGGAATAAAAACAAGAGGAATTCCGATGAATCTAAATGAAAGTCGTGTAGTTGACAGTTTTATAGAAAGTATTTCCCTTCTTTGAAATACGTATGTACTTATTTTTTATTTTCAAAATGGGAATACATCAAAGACAACAGAAAAAAGGGCCGTCTACAGTCCACGCGTTCTGTCTTTCATTAAATCCAGTTTCAGCATTGCAAGGTGTGATTTTCCAATTTTCCACAAGGGACTTCACCTGATATTTTTAATGAGGTTTTCAGCTATAAAGCGCCAATAAATAGTGGACAATTGCAGTTTTTCCAAGACATAAACTACCTGTGTCTTTCAATGCCATTTCTTTATTTTTACCTAGTTTTGTGCTCCACAGGAAACAGACGTCTGCGGGGACATCTGCTTTCAATTCCTACAGGTTTACTTTGTCCAATCTGGCAACCCCACCTCCAGTCCAGTGTTGTGTGTTTTCACAAGACTGGTTCTTATTTGATTGTGTTCTAAGGAGTTAATGTCTGTCGAGAGTATATTTATTTCATAAGAATGTGATTTGAATGAGGGGATAATAAGGGCAACAACCCCATAAGCCAGAGACAGATCCTTAAAAAGGGTTTATGTGTTATGTGATGGAACAGATTTGAAAGACTTATCTTAGTTTCACCTATTTATAAGGAGAATTAAAATATCATGTTTTAATGTGCCTGTAATGCAAATGGCATCCAATAGATTCTGGTTGAAATATAATTCTCCAGTCAATTTATATCCATCATGTTTGAAGGCAATTGTCCCCTGAGTTTAAACCTGACTCACCTATTATCCACATTTAGACTTTACAAGCTTAAATACATGCATCGGGAAGGTTAAAGACGACTACATTTTTTTTAAATAAACACAAATTGGAGTAACCATCTACTGATCAGAGTTTAACCATGTGCCCTGATCTTTTTCAATGCCTTGTCTGCATTCAGCCCTTATGGCACTTAGTTTGACTTATGGAGTTCACAGCATGTTTTCTGGGATGTTTCTTATGGTAAATGAGCTGTAACATCTGTCAGTAAAAGCACTTAACAAGAGGCAATTAGAGGAGTAACCTGTACCTCTGTTTGTTTATTATTTTAAAGAATGACTGAGTGACTTACATGGTCTGTTGTTTTGAGACTTTTGTTACATAGAGCAGAGGAAAGGTCTCATTGAGGCTGTGTTTAACATTATGTGAGTTTAATGTGTTTAAATTGGCTACATTTAGCCTGTGACTTTTTTTCTGAAATCTGGTTCTTTTCTGTTATTTTTCTATTTATTGCACACAATGGCAGTTACAGATATGCCATGTGTTCAGCTGTGCATTCACACAAGTTGCTACCTAATCTATTAAAGTGTCAGAGGTAAATGCCTTTTTACCTGTGCTGTGTTGGAGGAATATGATCAGAATGTGATTGCCTTACCCTTGTGTCAGTTCCATTTACCCCATCAAACTAAAATAGAGATTTTCCAGAAACCATCCACCAAGGAATCGCTCCGACTCTGCATGCAGCCGGGTAACTCCTCTCTCAATGAATGAAAAACAATAGAAAGTGAAAAGAAATATGAAAAACAGCTTAAATTCCAGGATATTGTTGTATGTGGTTTTCAAGGAATGAAAGGAAGCTGATAAACAGATATAGAGCTCAGTCACATTTAGAATAAGAAAGTACTTTGCGGATTGAATCACTTACCCTCTTATTGAGACGGATGTTAAAAAATGATATGTAGCTGGAGGTAATATTCTGATTAAAAAAATGATACAAACCTATATTTTTTGAGATTTTCCATCCTTTGCAGGTTGGACCAACTTCACACAACAGAGGATGTTTTTTCAGACATACAAGCCTACTGCTCGAGCTCCACACTGATTTATTTTTTACCTACAATGACCCTATTGCACGTCATACATACCTCCCACACCTCATTTCTACCCGTTAATCATGTAAGTCCTGTCTTAACATTGCTCTCGCTATATACAGACCTCTATGACCTCCCCTAGCACGCATTCACTCGTAAATCAAAGCGCAAACTAACAAGTCAATTAGCTTTCTTTTCCTGTTGATATAACAAATCAATTAGCGCTCATGTCCTGTGCATCTGAGGAGTCTGTTAGCTCTGGTTTCCTGTTTGTTTCCTGCAGGATCGAGGTGCGCTGTCAGAGCAGCTGCCTTGTTTGTGTTGGACCACATACACACATCAAACAGCTTCTAATAGCAGCCTTATCACAGCACATTACCCTCACATAAACATGAACCCTGGGTCAGGGCAGCAGGGCAGCATGTTTGCGTGTGTGTGCGTGTGTGTGTTTTCTGTATCCCCACCCACACTGCCAGACTACTGACAACATTTTTTGTAAACTGTGACTTGAGACATATTGCAACTTGATGTGATATGTCCATTCTGGGATAAACGTTATGCGTCCGTCTACAAGTAAGTGCAAAGTTCAAACCATTTTGCTTAATAAACGCGTATTTCAATGTCATTTTGATACCATGTTCAGTCCCACAATGAGGATGATGATGATTTTAAATACATTTGATGAATGGAGCATGTCCTTTATTAAATGTTTAAATGTTTGTGCCCAATGAGTAATATAAGCAACATATTTCTCCCAACTACATTTTTCTTTTTTAAATATACTCTAAAGCAGTGGTTCTCAACTGGTCAGGCCTCGGGACCCACTTTTTCCTTAGTCAATAGATCGCGACCCAACATTTTGAACCACTCAAATCTATTCAACAAAAAATCGTGCAGTAAAATATACTCTTTTCAGCATACATTATTAATTAAAGTGAAGTACAGTGCATATATCCCTTATATCCCTTCACAGAACTAAAGTATGCTTTTAAATAAGGTTTAATGAGATGACGGAATCAAAGCTGAACTGCATAACATAAAAAGGCCCACATGCTGAAAACCCAACCCCAGAAGGGGGGTCTGGGGGGATTCTCCCCCAGGAGATTTTTTGAAATACTAACATATAAACTACCCATTCTGGTACACTCTGAGAAGAAAATAAATAAATCTATTACTACCCGACATATTAATAATTTTTTATGCCATTGTTTGTGTTTCACTTTGTTCTGACAGCTTGCTGCTCCTCACAGAGAGAAGAGCAAAGAGGAGAGAGTCTGTGTGAATTACTTTAAATTGTGGGTAAGGGTAGACAGCTCCCATTGTTCTGTGACCTGTCAATCATCAAACTGGGGGTCATATTTCATTATGTGTTCATTGTTATCTGAAGTTATACCCATGGATGTATAAAGAATAGTTCTACCGCTAAGTTATTTTCCGTGGGGACTTCCGGCAACAATCTTGATTCTGATCAAAGGCCAGAAGACTCGGAAAAACATCAGCAAAGATGTTTTATTGAGAAGATCAGACTGAAGTTTTCAAAACCGTTCATGGTCTCCGGTACTTCCAGTCCAACGCCTACTGCATGCACAGCGTTAGAAAATCGGGCCTTCAAAATAAAAGTTTGACTTTTTCCCCCCCCAAAAAAACCAATATATTTTTTTTCTACATTTTTTTTTATTCACTCACACATCTGCGACCCACTTGAAACGGGCCACTTTTCGGTCAGGTCGCGAGCCACCAGTTGAGAACCACTGCTGTAAGGCATTTAAGGGCCATTTTAAGTTAAAAAAAAAGGAATATCAGGGGGTAATAATCCAAGAAAAACTGAGCATTTGCAAGAATAACAATCTCTTTGAGATTACGAATTATTTGAGATTAGTCACACATTTACTGGCAAAAGAAGTGTGTGTATGTGTTGGGGGTTAGAGTTAGGGTTCAAATATTTTCTATCCCTAACCCTAAACTGACTTTTACACCGTTGTAACTGTTGAATTTAATGAGAAAGATATGTGACTTAGTTTATCTTTCATTTGATCCATTGTTAACATGGAAATATTGATTGTAGCCTCTTAATACTGATACACTTGTAATTTGTGTTAATCTAACCCTAACCACACAGCAAACAAAGGGCGCAAACACAAAAACGCGATTCAGTATACATCCTCTCACTGACTTCTAACTTTTGTCTGTTGCCAAGCAATAGAATCCAATTTTAATCTAGATAAATATTTTATTGTTGTCATGGTAATACTATTACAATCATCTCGTGCCTTAAGAAAAATGTTTACGGCCTAAATCACTTTGCTGTATGTTGTCTATCTGTGTAGACAGCTTCATGTATTTAAAACCAGAATTATTATTACAACCATCAAATGCATTGGAAATCATGCTTGAAAACATTTCAAATAATACAATTAAAATAGTTGTTAAAGGAAAAATGGAAAAAAACAACACTGGGAATGTTTCATACAGTATGGTCTAAAGTAAAAACTAAAGTAGTTAAATAAATTAAACAAATGATTTCTAGGTGAATAAAACACACACATAACGTGAATCCTTTCAGCAGACACATACAGCAAAGCAAGAGATAACACTGATACATAAAGTACAATACAATCATATGTCCCTTTCAAAAATGTCATTTCAGTGAGACACATGACACGGGCTATGGTGGTTAGTTCCTGATTCTCTTTTCAAAAATATACTGCATATCTATTTATATATTTATATAAACAACAACAAAACTTTTGATAATTTTCTTTTTTTTTATAATTCTAAAATACATCTATAATATTTAGAAACAATATGTACAATTCCCCCTCTCACATGTTTATGCAACATTAAACAAATTCTTCTAAAATGGAAGAATAAATTAACATCTGGAGAGGAAAACCTCTGTTTGTAAGGCCGGGGGGGGTTAAGAGCTGATCGACTTTGTTTGTCTGACACACACTCGCTCATTCACTCACCAAAACGCACACACACACGAACATATGGTTCCAGTTGTACTTATTGAAGATATGTGATATTCAGCAATAGTTTCAGGATGGTTCTCCTGTTTATTCACAAAACAGTCGCGTCAGTGAGATCTCATATTCTGCGAGGTTTGAACTTTGAATAATGAACATTACGGGAACCGACATGTTGCGTAATGTCAGTGAACGTTCAATAACGCTTCAGGTCTGTCAGCTTTGAAATTCCCCTCCTGTGTACTCACCTCTGCTGTGTAAAATAACCAATAATCCAATGAAAAACATGAGGTTATATGAACTGACATGCTCATCAAGGCCTCAATTTGTAAGAGGCTGCAGGATCAGACCTCGCTTTACATGAGACAACAGTTTATTCTCATGATGGCTGACTGTTTTTAAAGCGTCCTATCCAACGCTCTATAAGGGTCCATATCTGTTGGACCACTGTAAGCAATGTACAGAGGAATACAAGTGAAGATGGCGAGGATGAGGAGGCGCTCGATGCTGAAGATATGTGATGGTGGTTGTTGTGGCTGTGGGCTCTATGAGACGGCTTCCCTGTGATGTAACCGTTGACGATGCGAACCAGCGGGGGAGGTGGAGACTGGACCATAGGTCTGTAGAGCAAAGACATGAGAGTAGGATAGAAACATTAGATTTAAAACAATGTTTATTTATTTTTGAAATTCCCCCTAAATATTTGCTTGATTGCCTTTTAACTTAGCAACATTAGCTCTAACCCTAAACCTAGCCCAGTAAACACACATTTCAAGAAGATTTTAGCTTATTTCAAAAAAGAGATATCCAATTGTGTGTTTTGTCCTATGGTTTTGTCCTTGCTTTCCTCGATGGTTAGAGGTAGGCGGGGCTCAGTTGGAAAATAATCTGAGGTCATCTACTTAAATGCACCCAACAGGATTTGCAACATTTAGCCAAAGCAAAGATGCGCTATCACAAAGATGGCGCATTAGAAATGGCACTAATGGTATGAAATTGGGTATGTAAAATACAATTATCCCCAGACTAATTTCCTTTTTTCCTGACCTTGTTGTATTCTGCTCTGTCATTGCTCATCTAAAACCACCACCAAGGAAAATCATGGTGTTATCTTAAAAAAAGGACTCTCTCTACATCCCTATACCATCCACAATTGTAAGCGTAAATAAGCGGAAAGCAGGAAAAAAACAAACAATGGAAATATTAATGATGGGGAAAGCTACAAAGGAAAACTTCTCAACAAAGCAATCCACTGTTTCAGCATCGACCAATCAGCAGAGAATGTATCCGAGGCGCGCAGCTCATTGATCTGCTCATGGCAATAAACCAACAGCCAATCAGCCGGCCTGCTTCTACTCTATTGTTCTTCCAATGCCAATATTATACATCCTGCATGTGTCTCTTTATCTGTCATTTTCTAAACAATTCCAGCAATTAAATCATTGTATTCTCTTGTTTGATGCCGAGACTGCAGTGCATGTGTGGTTTTGACTGGGACGAGGCCAGGCTGAACAAACACACACATTATTGAAATTTGCACAACAGGATAGCCTTCAATATACAAGAAAATGTGATCGCAAGATAGCATTTCCACTTAACTGCACTTACTATAGGCAGGGGCGGACTGGGACTACAAATCAGCCCGGGACTCTCGACCGGCCCACTTCGGTACCGCCGGCCCACCTCGGTACCGCAAGTAATTACCGCTAGTAAATTGTCAACGGGGGGGTGCTAGTGACTTATCCGACCGGCCCACCTCGGTGCCGCAAGTAAATTGTGGACGGGGGGGGGCTAGTGACTTATCCGACCGGCCCACATCGTCCGACCGGCCCACTTCAGTACCGGCCCATCGGGATTCGTCCCGAACGTCCCGATGGCCAGTCCGCCCCTGACTATAGGGCTCTGTTTAATAGGGGAATACATTTTGACAATCAAAATAAAGATAAATTAGTCTATCGCCATTGCTTCTTGAGTTTGGATGGCTGACTCCAATGTCTTTGGCTGAAGAAATTACACAGTTGGAGAAGTTAAGACAGTTAAGGGCCAGGCAAAATAAAATGGCTAAATATATTCTGTGTAGGAATCAGTTAAACATGAAAGTGCAAAAAGGCAGTGTGTCGTAACCAACTGCAGAATCAATGAGGCAAATTCCCTTCAAAAATTCAACTCGAGTGATAGATAGTGTTTATTTTATTACTTATAGATACTTGTAGTTAATGATGTTTTCTTAGCATTGACTTGTGTTGGCTCGAGTGCTACTGCCTGCAGCTTCAGGCTCATCATTTTTTTTTTAATACGGAACATAAATTCAGACCAAGCAGGGAATACTTAGCTGCTGCCTGTTAAGCCACATTAGTTCATCTAATGTGTAAATTACTGAAGCAGATATTTGAAAGTCAAGGGAAAATATTAGCCTTTTTACAAAGTTACAAAGCTGGTTTATTTTGCTTTGAGGGCCAGAAGAGGTGTACGGAAACCAGGTGTGACACATCGCTCTGTGGCCGAGCATCAAATACAACAGAGAACTGTAGCTGCTTCTTTTTTTTGTGGACTCCCTCCAATGGGCTACCTTTTCAGACATTCAAATATACAAAGACGTGCACCGTGTACACTTTGTAACACGTGTACACAAACAGTCTGTTTCCTTTCCGCTCAAAATGCAGGTTCTCAGGAGGAGAGAAAACATTTCTGCAGACATAATGTACACAAACGCTCACAAACGCCCTCTGTTTCGGTGAAGAACAGGCACTGTATGGTCTCTTTACATCACTAATTTGTAATAGTTTGTACTGTTTATGGAAAAATACATGTTCATACAGAGGTAGAAATCACTCAATTCTGAATAGCAGAGACCTGCATGGTCTATTCTTTCTTTCCTGCTGGTTAGCTGCAATTAAGGATAATCATAATTTAGATATCACTGTCATAGTCATACGCTAACCAGGTACAAATAAAAAGACACAATGAATTTTTCTTTCCTCACATGTCTTGTGTTTCTTTAACCTGTGGTTCGCTCATAAACTGGGAAAGTAAACTGTAGCACCATGGGAACATTTCAAGAAGAGACAATTTGAAGGTAACTGTATTAACAGAAGAAGAAAAAAGCAACAGCATCATATACAAACATCTCATAAGTCAGCATTATGTTATAGCCATAGGAAAAAGCTGTATGTTTCACACAAATTAAGATTCTGAGAGGGCTGACTACAGCATGCAAATACATTCTCATTCAGGAGTCAGTAAAAAAACAAAAATAATAGTAATTCTAAAAAAGATAAGATTGTCATCTTAACCTTTATCCAGATGATTGTGCAGTAAAATACATTTCTCTCATGGGATAATAAGACAAATAGAGTTCGTTTTTTTATGCAGGCTTTATTTTTCCCTTTTCTACTAATACAAGTCACTCGTGTGGATATTGACCATTATTCCCAAAATGGAAATTCCTCCATGATTAACTTAAGAAGGACCTGGTTCGTTTTTTGTGTGACATTTCCTCCCACGGTCCAAAGATCAGGTGAAGTGGAAACTATAATTGCCCGTAGGTGTGTATGAATGTGGTTGTCTGACTTTAGGTTTTGGCTAGAAACTCTAAAGCCTCTTGCCAATGCATGCTGAAATAGCTTCCAACTATGAGCAGGATAAGTGGGTGTAGAAAACAGATGCCGGGTCAAATTCATCTCTTTGTTCCCTGCCCACATGCACAATCATGCAACATAAAGGTTTGCCCTTACAACAAAATAAATTAAGTTTCAACACAGCAGACCACTCCTTTTAGTCTGAAAGGTGAGCTTGTTTTGGTGTCCGGTTAGTGCCTGCCTGGAGCTACTGTGAGACCAAAACCGGATACTTAGTAGGAATTCCCAGGCGGCTTTTTTCACATCCAAGACACTTATACCAGCTAGGAACTAGTCTGGACTTATACCCCACTGCAGAGTGTGTGTGTGTGTGTGTGTGTGTGTGTGTGTGTGTGTGTGTGTGTGTGTGTGTGTGTGTGTGTGTGTGTGTGTGTGTGTGTGTGTGTGTGTGTGTGCAGGGGCGCCGTAAGGGGGTGAACAGTTGGGACGATTCTAAGGGCCCGTGACTGACAGGGGCCCAAACAATTTTAGAACATTAAGAAAAAAATGTTTAAGTAACCAATGTGATATCTTTTCATGGGGCCCAAAATCCCTGGTGGTGCCCCTGTGTGTGTGTGTGTGTGTGTGTGTGTGTGTGTGTGTGTGTGTGTGTGTGTGTGTGTGTGTGTGTGTGTGTGTGTGTGTGTGTGTGTGTGTGTGTGTGTGTGTGTGTGTGTGTGTGTGTGTGTGTGTGAACATGTGGTGAAGTGTGTGCAGACTGCATGAAGAGTATGGTGATGTGATATGGTGGCTGTTTGAGCCTGCGGCATCCCACCAGGAAGTGTCGGGTCTATTCTATAGACATGTGGAAAGACTACATTACACATTTTAAATTTCCCCTCTCTCTTCTTTTTTTTCGCTCAGCTTTCCTAGTTAAATCCTTTTTTTCTTTTGTCCCCACAACAAAGAGACAGACAAGTCATTGATGACAGACGGATATCAGAAACTAGATCCTCTTTTCGCACTTCTTACCTCTCCTCGATGCGAACCCAGAGGTCGTTGAAATGCCGGTGCCGCTGTTTCTTCTGCTTGTTCCTCCTCTTTTTCTTCAGCATTTTCCGCTCCGCTTTCTCCAGCATCTCCAGGCTATCGGCTGGCAGCAGCATGTGGGGCAACAGATCGTCCTCCAAGGAACGCCCCTGATCGTCCTCCTTGTGGGGAAGCTCGTGGAAGAAAGGCTCCAGAAGAGGGGACTCATCGTAGAGGTCTTCTGACTCTGGAGATGATGCTCTCCTAGAGGGCGCACATCACAGGAATATGAGACACTTGTAAAGAAAGAGCTAGAAGGATTTGCCATATTTGCTTAGTTGATAACTCTTGATTTGAAAGGTATGAGCTTGTGGAATGATTTCTGTTTTTAATCAATAGAACCAAGACCAGCAGTACCTTCTGCATTTCAAAAATGTGTTTTGTTTGCATGCAAATAACGCAGAGTCTCAAACATGCTTATTTTCCTCTATTTCTATTTTTATTTAAATGCAGGCTGCTGTCAGTGGGGTGCATGGTAGTTAAGGTTTTCAAATTCTCCGCATGGGCCGAATTGATGCCAAAACATAATTAAGTTTGGTTTTGGAAAGACCAACTCTGGTCCATCAAAAGCCAAACATCTTCGAGACATCAACTGCCTGTGAGTATTATCCTGAACAAATGGATTTATGGCGAATAAATTGATTATGCTTGTTTTTGTGATTCATTGTGGAATTGTTCTCCTTATTTGTCCTTTGGAATCCACTGTAACTGTTCTGAACCCAGCCATACTAAAGCTGCTTCTCCATGATGGGATAAGCTACAACATTTTCAGAGCTACAGTTCTCGATAAGTCTGATGATTAAATATTTAAATTAAGATTTCCAGTAGAGTAGGACCTAGTGGACACGCCATTAAACAAGGTTTCAAAATCCATCTTAGAAAGGACAATATGATTAATTAAATAACGTATACGTAAATCTAATAATTAATCAAATTAGATGAAAGGGAAATAGTAGAGGAGATACAGTGAACCAACATCCAGTCTCTTAGACAAAATATACAATATTTCTGTAAAAAAAATAAAACTGACTGTTACAATACAATACAATACAATACAATACGATACGATGCGATGCTTTACGATCATATTTTAATGGTCAGATCCAGTCTGAAATTTGACTTGCATCACAGCGGCTCTTGTACTATACTACTGGAATAGGAAGAATATCATCAAATATTTTGATACAAGGTCTGGTATAATGGTGCAGCTTAGCAGATATATCCATAGATATATTTCCAGACCCAGGTATTGTTTAAAAGATGAATTCCAGAGATGAACCTATGAAAGCAATGTAGTGTGATTGGGTCACACACAGGTTCATCTCAGGCTCATAATCCTACATCAAACGTGTGTGAAAAAGTGTGTGTGTGAAAGTAGACTCACTCATTCATTGAGTCACACACACAGAGCACAGATCTGCAGAGATAGCCACCCGCACAGTGTGCTATGCTAGACTGCACTACATGCTTCACAGCAGGAGGTATGAGCCCTGCTTAGCTCGGCCTTTTCAACAACACTTCACTGGTGGCCGGTGGGGATTTTATCAGATGTATCTGTGTAAGGATCTACATCGAGCCCAGTGGAAAAGGAACATCAGCATATTGTTTTTCCTAACTCTAAAGTAATCCAAATATTAGATCCCTACAGCTTTCCCTCCGTCTATCAGACTTCCTTTTACATAAATCTGAAGTTTGTTTATGATAAATGATTGAATACCGCAGTTTATTCTCAAATCATATAACTACTACTTTTGACAATATCTGCCAATCATTTTGCAATGTAAATTAAAGTATATTAAGACAACATTAAATATACTTTTTACCCCTTGCACACAATGAATCATACACATTTTACTTGAATGTAAGTAAGTATTTGCTTTACACGTTAATCACAGAGTACCATGTTAGGCATCAGCTAATCTAATGTATACACTGTAATATTTATCATATATATTTTATCATAATTCTATTTTATTCATTTATTTATTTATTAATCCTGGTCATCTACATGACCATCCGAAGCTGTGTGCACTACTTGCTGGTCGAAACTGTCAGACCTTTTAATCTGTGTTTTAATATGTCTGTTTATAAAGCACTCGCTGGAGCAGTGACTATAAATCTCGTTGTATTCTGTACAATGACAATAAAAGCTTTTGAATTTTGAATTGAATTTAATCTCTTGATCAACAGCTTGTCAAATAACAAATAATGTAAAGATAATTGTTAATCATGTACATTTAGTGCTGACATTTCAAAGCCAATGAGTGTCTTTTTATAAACTTTTTTTTAATAATATGTGATCACCAACTTCAACAAAAAAATGACCCTTTATTATGACGTGGCGAGGAAACAAGGGGCACCGGTAGAATCGCTTAACATATAAGTAGAGTGCAATTTTTCATCATTTGCAGACAACACATTTTCTTACAAGGTCAAAGCAGAGCTTGAACATCTGTTCTGGGTCTACAAATGAACACAGACCAACTACAGAGTTGTGCTTGGAAAATGATTTCCCATTTGAAATTCAGTCAGTGAGAAAGTTGAAAGAAATGTATATTCCTGTCAGGGCCATGAGGCAGCGGTTGCCCCGGTGAATGTTGACGGGACCTGAAACCTTACCCTTATTTAAGTGATAGAATATGGGCCTTGGAGTTTGACAGACTTGTGTTTTGAGAAGAAATCATAATGGGCAACAACTATGGCGAAACATAATATTTTCTGCTTGGTTATCTATCTGTCAATTTTGTATTTCTCACTTTCCACGCTATTTTCTTTGTCAGGCTCTTCCGTCTTCTCTTGTTACACAGACATTTCTTACGCTTTTTAAGGAAAATTATTATATAAAACATGCTGGAACAGAAACGGCCCCAAGCATATTACTCATTCATCTTTGTCTTCATGAATTACTCTACTTGACCCATTGTGTCTTTCATAATAAATCGTTTTAAAGTTGATTTTCAGATTGTAATGGTTGTGTGGGTAAAGTTTAAAGGTATTTTGGATGTTTTAACTGAATCAGGCAGCCCAGCAATTTTCCTTTTCCTGTTGTTAGTCAAACAAAACCTTTTTTTTTATTTTGGTTACAGATTACGCAAACATAACTGTACAATGTCAAGCACTTAAATGATATTTGGTGAGTTTGACTCGTAAACAATACAAAGTAAAACGCTGCATGAAAGTACAATGATTTTAAAAGGGACATTTGGATTTCTGGAGAATGAATCAAATACATTTTTAAAGGTAAAAGCTTATATCAAATTGGAAGATGTTGTGTCTGTGAGTGTGTGTGTGTGTGCGTGTGTGTGTGTGTGTGTGTGTGTTTAAGGGCCTTTGGGCAGTAAACGTACCTGTTTATGGGCTGCCCAGCAGGGGTGTGCTCCACCTCGTATCCCTGGCGACGAAGCACATCAATGACTGTATTGTTGCCGAGAAAGTGACCTGCGACCAAAAAAAACACAAAAGTGATGACCTCCACTTCTGAAAGCTAATGAGGAACTGCAAGCAAATTGAAACAAGACATTTACTACCCTTCTAACTGCACTGTTTCAGGAGATCACAGGAAAACCCAGTCATGATTTAAATACAGAAACTAGAGGGGCCACTTGGAACGGAGACCTCTGCCAAGACCAATCTACTCCAACATTTTAATGGTTCTTCCTTGTCCGCTGCTAGACCATTCAACCAAGTTTCATCACAAATTGGGACACTAGCTTTTCCGTACTGCTGCTGTCAAACAAACAAACCAAAAATATGTCCGACTTTATACGTGTTAAATGTGGAGTAGGAGCTGGGAGGCAGTTAGCCTGGTTTAACATAAGCAGCGATTGAATAAAATAGGCTTTAGAGATTGCAATAAACATAATTAAGCTTGTTGAATTAAGCTGCGTGTTAACAAGCTAAGCTAGTTGTCTTATACCTTATTAAACAAAAACACATAACAATTAAATAGAGCTTTCGATATTCTCGTCTAAATGTTGGTAAAAAGGTTGAACAGTTTATTTTTCCTTGGGTCCCTTCAAATTTCTGCTGGCTCCTCAACGCTTCAGTTTATAACTTTAATTTGTTCCCCTACTTTCATACCCCCCTTAATCGCCTCTAATCACCTTTTTCCTCTGCTTTTCCATTTTCATAGACTCTCCTTTGTTTTCATTTACTTCATTATCCTTCTTCCTCTATGCTTTAACCCCCCTTGTATGTGCCACCTTTCATTCCCCCTCCAATATTCATCTCTCCATTCTCCTCCTCCCTTATCTCTAACTTCCCCCCTCTTCCTCTCGTTCTCGCTCTGACCCTCTCAGCTACGTGAAGTGGGGGCATTGAGGCTTCAGGTTGCCATGTCAAGAGGTCTCCATTCTTCCCTTCACTCTGACAAGGGGGAGCAGGGGCCCATTGTTGGGGTCTGCTCAGCCGTGGTACCACGGAGATGTGTAAACAAAGAGCCCCGGCACTTTAATCTGGCCCAGAGCCTACGATAGAGAGGTTGGCCTCAATGCACTATGGGTGCCATGATGCTGACCCATCTCTACGACTAATACGTGCTGGCTTAAACTTTGTCCAAGTGGGTAAAAGCTTTAGGAGATGACTAAAGGGAAAACTGAAAACTGCAATGTCAACATTTGATCTGTGAATTTGATAACATCTTTCTTTACTTCTAGGTGAATGCAAGTACTTAGTCAATCTGAGAGGAAAAATGTCCCATGTGCATAAAGCTTGGTAGACCTTGAAAACATGAAAAAGTCATGCTTAGCTTTTTTATTTTATTTCTTAAGTTGTTTTGAAGTCTTTCTTTACCATTTTTAAGGAGTGCTTTTATCTCATTGATGCACCTATCTAAATAATCTAAGAGCTCTCCTGGGAGAAGAACAAAAGAGCCATGCATTTATTTTCTGCTTTTGAGATGAAATCATTATCAATACAGGTGGTCAGTTAAACGAATACCCAGCAGCTCTTAAACTCTCCATGGGAGTTGGAGAGAGGACAGAGGGACAGAGTTTCCCAGCCTGCCCACGTCTAGGAACAACTCAGTGTGATTTATGTGAGTTTACGTCAGAGGATTAAGGTGGGACAAATGGGGCTGTTCGGCACAATGTAGGGCCACAGAAGGGTGGGCGGACTTCAAATCTTCAAAGGCACACACATACAAATACGTATACACACGCAAATTATAGTAGGAGGTAAACCATCAATTCTGACATGTCCCCAAGGGAATTCAATGTGTTTTTTGGGGACTGGGTTTTAAAAGTTGAAGCCCTCCATCCCCAGTGCTATTATATGCTTTAGAATGTAAAAGGTATTTAAGTTACCATGCGGCAGAAAAAAAATCTTATAAAAAGGTTAAAAAAAAGTGTGGTAACATCTTATCAACAAATCTGTTTTCTCCCTATAATATTAATCTCTACAACTGGATGGAGCCAACTATACTTGTCTCACTGTATGGATCAACTGTACAGTTTCACACACTCTAAGGAGAGAACCTATTTTTGGATCACATTTTTTTTAAATTAAGAAAGAATGACTACAGCAACCACAAGCATTTCACATAAAACATTTTTCAGACCAGCAGTCCACCTTGACAAGAGCAAGTTTCATACATCAAAAAAAAGAAAAACCTGCAGCCTGCTGGTGTGCCAAAGTCATGGAATTGCAAACAGAAACGTAATTCAGACACCTTTGATTAAGTATGATTGATGCCCCGGAAAGAGGCAGAAAGTAAAAACAGAAAATAATGTTAAAAAAATTCAGCATTTTCCTGAAAATGGGCCTCAAGTATGATGTAGCCTTTGGCCACTAACACGTCTTTGGGGCCTTAATATGCCAGGTGATTTGTGACAACTGCCTCTCTGTTTCTTACTCATACTGCTAATAATTGTTATGAAGCAATACCTGTAATTCTATCAGAAAGAAAAAAGACAGTTTATTGTGTTTGCAAAATTACAACAATGTCGGAATTGTGTGATATACAAGCCCATGTATTTCCCCTTTTTCTTTGAATTGACCGACAGCTCATAGATACTGTCTCGTCCCATGGAGGTACATCATGTTCCACGCAGAATACTCAATTATCTGAATATCAATCTTGGATCAGTGAAAAAACAATGAATTCCTACTGGCACACAGAGCAGGGGCGGATCTACCGGGGTGGCATGGGGTGGCAACTGCCACCCTAAACAATAGCCTTGCCACCCCAGCTGCCACCCCAGTTGGCATCTTTGTTTTGAAAGAAAAGTTGTGGCTCATCGGACATTTATGAGAGAAAGTCTCTAAAGTCCGAGTGCAAGTGAATGCAGCACAAGATGCACGTCATGTAACCCCTCCCCCGGTCCTGGCGCGAGAGTGGAAATATGATTGGTGGCGAATTCACTTGAACCTGGGGACGGCGCAAAACGAGAAGCCTTTCGGAACCAAGCACTGAAGGAATGAGGTAATTGCGGTCTACACTGACAGAGAAGAGAATGTCAAGTTTGGCTGTACTCAGCATTGAATCAAAACGCACTACAGCTGTTGATCTTAATACGTTTTGTGAGGCGTTTTTGCTGAACAAAATAGTAATCGCCGCATTAGACAATAGACAATAGACATGCCAACTTGATGCTCTGCTCACGGATGACTCGATGAGAATAAAAAACTGTTAAGATGATGACCTTGTATGCGTGTATATATTTTTTTCTTTGAGGGGGTCTGCCCCCAAAAAACAGTTTTAAGTCCTGAGAAAGTAAAATAAGACGGTGTGTAAAACTACACTGCCCAGCCAACAGAAAGTAACCACTTTGATTTAACTAGGCCAGTAGGTAAGGACCTTCCACTGGATAATAACTGCAGCGATGTTTAAGTTTTAGCTGAATACACGTTTTTTAACCCTAACTGATGCAGTTAGTCACTTCTTTAATGTTTGTTCTTTCGGATGTAAAGTCAAGGTTGTAACTGTATATCAATAATGATATAATTACTTGTTTTTCAAATTTGAAGGAGGGTGAGCAAGCATCTTGATGAACATTCATCATTAACTCCTCCAAAAAATATAGTTTATTCAATAATAAATGAATATGTGAATCATAACTATAGGTTACTTACGTAACCCCAGTTCTCAGAGTAACATGAAGTGAGATGTCTCACTATGGGATGCGCCTCATCGCGGAGCAAACAGAAGCATCAATCTCATTACGCCAATCCTGATTGGCTGGTGATCTTGACGTCAGCGTCAGGGAATTCACCCCCTATAAGTAGCTTGCGCCACGACGAATGCGCCATTCAAAATAAGCACCTCTTCTCGCTTCACCATAGCAAGGAGGGCCGTCTGGTGAGACATCTCACTTCATGTTACTCTGAGAACTGGGGTTACGTAAGTAACCTATAGTTCTCATTCATAACACTCCGTTCGATGTCTCACTATGGGAAATTGTAGCTCCCGTATTGTCAGACGAGCTTATCTCGAAAATCACCAAACCAACCAGAACTTAACAGGTAGAGCTCTGACTCAACCAGGTGCCCAGCACTGCTTGAGTCACACTGGGAGCAGAACGTCCAGCCTGTTAAGAGGCGGACAAAAGTGAGCGGCGAGGACCAGCTCGCCGCTGCACCAATGTCTTGGATGGGAGACATCCTGGACAGAGTCCAGGATGCAGCCAGACCCTGAGTCGAAAGAGCTCGCGGACCCGAGGGTGCCTGCGAACTCTGACTCGTATGAGCCCCAAAGCAATTGCTTCCACAAACCAGTGGGAGAGCCGTTGCTTAGTAACAGGCTTGCCCTTATAAGGGTTAGCCCAGGACACAAGGGGTTGGTCATTATGACAAAGCACCCTTGATCTGTCCCTGTACGTGCGTAAAGCACAGGCTGGACACAGCAAATCCGGCCGCTGTTCCCCAGAAGAATACAGTGGCGGGGAGGATGCCTCAATGTCAAATGTGGTACCTGAACCAACCGCCTTAAGATAAAGGCAGGGTTGGGCTTCAACCACACTCTGTTTGCCCTGGGGCGAACTGAGTGCATGAAGACTGTACAGATAGTGCATGAGTGCCACTGGCTCGCTTGGCAGCTGCCAGGGTCAGCTTCATGTCACACTGTATTCAGATTGTACCACTCACGGGCCAGGCCCATAGAGCCAAGCGCTCTGGGTGTGGGTGAAAGATCGCCCCCCCCCGCTTGGGACAGTATGTCCCTGCGTAGTGGGAGCTGCCATGGCTGCCCGCACAGCAGCTGATATATCTCCGCTAGCCAGTACATAGCTGGCCAGTGCGGAGCTATCAGGATAAGTGTGTGGCGTTGCTCTCTCACTCTGGCCAGAGTTGGGGGTATCAGAGCCAGGGGTGGGAACACGTACAGAAGGCCCGGGGGCCAATTGTGCGCGAGTGCATCCACGCCTAACGGTGCATTTAGATCGCGCATCGAAAAGAACAGCTGACACTGAGCATTGTCTTTCGAACAGATCCACCGCGGCTCT